TAACTCGATTTGATACCGAAAAGTTAAACAGTTTACAGCGCCTACGGGCAGTCCATAAGTTTTCTGAATTTTTTATCCAGGAACTGAAACGCGCTTATAATACCTACAAATATTCTAAATAAATCCAAAATTAGTCCCATGACTCACTCAGCCAATTTTTGAAATCCGGCACGGTGGCTCCGCCGTGCTCCGGCGTCGTTGCTGCCATCCACGGCGGGGATCCGCCACAGATCGACCATTTTCAGTCGAATTCGGTCGATTTTGCATCAATTTCTGCAAACAAACACGTTAAATGGCCTCGGTTGGCCGAAAAAATATAAAAAACCGAAACTCACCGGCGGCAGAGCTCTCCGGTGCGACGACTCTTTCGGCTCATATTACGGTTGGGTGTCTCGCTTCGGTCAACCTATAGAGAATAAAACGATGATAATAACAGTGAAAAAATTACGCAAAACGGAAATCAAGAAAGGCCTCATCGGAGATTTTATGAAACTCTCTATGGCAGCGGTATCGGGCTTTGCCGGTGTTTTTTGGAAAATTGGCTGGTTTTTTCACTTCGATTTGACCATGTGTGAGCTTAAAATTGAATTTTGTGCAAAATGAGAAGTTTTTACTTTTTTTTACAGTCGAAAAGGGTTTCGGTGCGACGGTGGGTGGTGGCAGTCGACTCCCCAACAACTGGATCGTCTTCTCCGGCGAAGGGTTCTAGCAGCTAGGGTTAGGGTTTGGTGCGTATAGGGGTTATTTATATCCATCACATTTGATCTGGACCGTCCGATTGCGATTAAATATGGAGTGAATCTGGGCCGTTCATCACGATCCAATATGGGCCATCCATTGCGATTCACTCTGGGCTATCCGATCGCGTTTGAATCTGGCCGTTTAATCATGTTTGGGAGGGAGCACATCCAAGTCGTCTGTGCACGCAGGAACGGACATCAGCCGTTCGATCGCGGACACACGAATCGCCCAGGTGGTCCCCCCGCGTGACCTCCGACATCAGCGTCTCTACTACTTGGCGCGTCCTGGTTGGTCCGAGCTGTTGACCCGGCGTCTAACGTGGCAAAACTTTTTAAAATTACGTTTTGGCCCCTATTTTCTGGTTTTTCTTTCAAAAATATCCACATAACTCAAATTTTCACCATTTTTCCCAAAATTATTTTCGATTAAATCCTCCTTTAATTTTATTTCATTTTTTTTACTCTAAATTAAATAAAACAAAATGCACTAAAATAAAATAAATTAATAAAATTTATATTTACTAATTAGTTAATCACCACAAAAAAATTTGTGGGTGTTACATTATTTCTATATATTATATACTACAATAAGAATGCTTATATTTTAACAATATATTAGATGTTGTGTATATGGTATTTACATTGGACTTCGAGCAACCTCTAAGAAAATATATTATGCAGCTATGTCAATAGCTACAAGGCATAATAATTAATGACCTAAAGAAAAAATTATAATAATTTATTGAAGAATGAATTGATTTTAATGAAATTCAAAAGTACATGGCATGTTTATGTAAAAATAATACATGATTTATTTTGAGGAAGTATAATAGTATATGGATTTAGTAATTATTTTAATAATGAAAACAATCAAATATGAAATGTGTCAATATCTCTCAAAATAGGATAGTCTATCGTAGGCTTCTTTTACATTAACAGTTAATAATCAAATTATTTAAACAACAGTTGATTATTTTATAGTGTATAATTTTGACATTTTTAAAATATAATGTTACCTAACATTTTTTAATAAAAATGCATGAGTTGTTTGAGCTAAAAAAAACACGAGTCATAAATATTTTGTATATGTTTTTAAAGTAATAATTTTTATCTACATCAAAT